GTGTTCTCAGTCTCCCGAGTCTGGTGAAGTCTTCTCCTGAGTCTCTCAGTCTTCAAGTCAGTCTTCTGAGTCTTTGATGGATTCTTACACATCTGAGTGGAAACTCTGCCGGACTGACGGCTTGCTGTGTATCCACTCGGGAGATGAGCGTGTTTGTTGAACGGAGTAAACGACACGACTTCTGATGATGGCCAGCCGCTCTTACCGGAGACGCTGGAAGGTAGCGTTGAAATGGACCCGACACCGGAGCTGATTAATTTCTGCAAAGGTAACGAGTCGTGACGCGCCAAGTGTATCGGAGGTTTTGAGCTGGTGTTGAAAGGAGCGTGCCATTCTGCTGTCCGAACAGACACCCCCCTTCACCCATCTTTTCTCTTCATTCCTTCCTTTAAAACTCTTCTATTTTGCCAGTAATCTTAAAACCTTCAGAAATGTCTTGTCTTATTAAGTAAAACGTGCCAAGTTTTATTAATCAGAACCAGATCAGCTAATCACTTGTACATGTTTGATGTTAAATTTTGATTCTGTTCAATAAATGACCACATTTATTCTGATGGGTCAAAAGAAATTGACGTCTCATGTCACTGATTTAAACGCAATCCTCACAGTACCTCGTCACATGGCCTTAATTTAACTCGAAAAAGAGAGAACCCGTTATATTTAAAGAATTAGTAGTGAAAGGTGCAGCTAAGTTGGCCCTGACACCACTACACTCCCCACCATCACAGACATCTACACCTCCAGATGCAAGAAGAGGACCATCTGCATCATGAAGGACCCCACTCACCCAGCACACACACTTTTTACCCCGCTCCCCTCAGGAAGGAGGTTGAGGAGCATTAAGTGTAAAACCACTAGACTGAGGAACAGCTTCTACCCTGAGGCTATTAGACTCATGAATCTCTAACCAGAATGATCACTGTGAAAAATCACATCATGCTGCTGCTGATCTGTTTCATGTTGCTGCTGATCTGTTTCATGTTGCTGCTGATCTGTTTCATGCTGCTGATGATCTGTTTCATTTTGCTGCTGATCTGTTTCATGTTGATGTGTTCAAGCGTGCTCATCTGCTCACACAGACTCATGTTCATTCTGCTGTTCAGCATAATGTTTTTATGCTATTAATAGGGGTGTAACGGCACACGTGGGTGTACCGTACCGTTTCGGTTATTTTTTCATTAATTAATATTTTGACGAGAGATTATGCGCCGCGGAACTAAAGTTCCTAAGCGTGTTTCAGCACGGTGCTATTATCTTGCAGCACGCGCAGCATTAGCAGCTTAGCTTCTCGTTGCGGTCTCCTGTTTGGGAACTAAGGAAGCATCGATCCACTTTTTAAAATTCCGATCCCGATACCTAGATCTGAGTATCGGTCGATACCGATCCAGTTCTGATATCATGATCATCATTGATTTTATATGAGGCTGTAATAATCTCCTCTCAAGTACAATTTGTACAAATATATGCATGCATGTCCAAAAAAACAATTTGAGGTAAGTTTTATTAATGTTGGATAAGTTTTAAAGTTAGAATTAAATTCTGCTAACACAAAACATCTTTCTTTTTATTCCTAGTTTTAAAGTGGATATTAAAGTGATTAATTTAAGTGATTGTTTAAAGTTGTTTTATTTTTTATAAGGGGCAGATATAAGAATTTTCTTCTTTCTGCACTCTTCATTCAATGATTTCTTTCTGATGATTTTTTTAAAATTTATTTTGTTTAATTTAAATGAATGAATAAATAAATTAATTTAATAAAATGTTAACTGGCTTCAAACACCTGCTAAGTTTATGGCATAAATCAACAGACGTGTTCCTGTTTTTAGTATTTTACATCACTTTATAATGTAGCTGGTTTTGTTTTTAATATAATTTTCAAATCATGTGTTTTTTTATGATTGTCTACTGTTGTACTGATAAATATCTCCTGGAGGGTAAACTATATCTTGGCTGCAAGTATCAAACTGTGAAATCCTTCGTTTTCTACAACTGATAGTGGTTGATCATTAATTATGAAGTTTAGCATCTTCTCTGTAAACATTTGAGCTCCGTGGCTTCAGCGATGTCTTCTTCTTGTTCAGTCCGAAGCAGGCAGCCTGATTTGGATCAGCCCCTCTCAGTCTGTCCCTCCTCAGAGACGGGCAGACTGAGCGGGGCAGATTGGACGCAGCTGACCGGGGTCAAGTCGCCTGTTTTGGGTTGAGCAAAGAGCAACGCCCCGCTGAAGCCACGGAGCTCGAATGTCCATCGTAAAACTAACTTTACCGTGGTTTAATGTGGCGCTGTGGCTCTGCAGACAGTGCATGTTGCTGTCTTGTTTTGTGGTGTTTAGTGTAAAATACTTCCACACAGCGACATGTTTAGATGAAAAGTTTGTTAGCTGTTAGCCACAGTGCTGCTAACTCAGTCCTCACGTTGTAGCTGGCTGCAAACTATGAACTGGATTTCCTGAATGTGAGGCGGGTCTTATTACTCTGGGTTCATGAGACACGCCGCAGTTCAGGAAATCCATTCCATAGTTTGAAGCCAACATGCATCGTGGATCGGAAATATCGGCAGGTGGATCGGAAAACCTGATACGTAAATTATGCTGGTATCGGAGGCCGATACCGATACTGGATCGGATCGGCCCCATCCCTATTGGGAACATTGTCTTTCTTGTTAAAAGACAAGTGAACAAATCAAAGCTGTGTCTCCACGTTGTTTCATGGAGATTGGATCCGCAGCAGCATCACGTCGAACTTGTTACCAACTTGAAACGACATCACCTGAACGTGAACGTCTCTTCTAGCAGCTTGGTGCAAAGACTGATAACAGCAGCATTTAAACAACCTTTATCAGGTCATTCACATCGGTCCAGAGCAATAACACAAGCTGTAGGAGTTTTTAAAGCTCTGGATCTACGTTTCTGTTGTTGATGCACCGACTTTAAAGTTCTTGAGCCCCAATACAACATCCCATCATGTCAACACTTCAGCCAAAAAGTTTTAGCAGCACTTTATGAAAAGATAAAACTGATCGTCAACAAGCCCTGGACCAGATTAAAGTCCTGATGATGATGACCGAGAGATTCAACCACCTCATAACAACCGTTCAAGAAGAGGTATTGTTCTTTTATTATTATTATCTAATTAACTTTTTTTAATTTAAAATTACAATCTTAACTCATTTTTTTTTACCTCTTTGTGTTTTATTTGCAGTCTGGGACAGAGACAGCAGCTGAGTCTTCTTCTTCTTCAGGGAAATCCACCAGAGATCACCTCCAGCTAAGAATGTGTGATGAGTGAACTCTGAACTCTTCCAGGGACCTGACCCACCTGTCGGGTCCAAGAGGTTGTGATGAGACCAAATCCAGCCACACTGCAACATGATCAAAGCTCTACCTCTTTATTCCTGCTACTGTTGTTAGAGAGAGCTGTTCTCCACCGCTGGAGATATTCACTGCAACTAGATCTCAGGTTTTGACAGAAAATGTGGACAAGTTGGTGTTTTTGTCCAAAAACTTAAAAATTGATTAGTTAGATTGTAAACAGTGTGTTGCTGCTTATTGTTCTGGTTCTGACTGTTATTGTATTTATTAAGATTTTTATTATTGTTAGTACAGTTTGTTTATTGTAAAGAGTGCCTTTTTTTTAGAACATCATCTAAATGGGTCGCTTTTATTTATTTTTATACAAACATTGTTTACTTGGCATATTTTCAAAATAAACATTTTGTAAGTCTTTATTTTGTCTTTTTTTTTGTACCGAAAATGAACTGAACTGAAATGTGATTTTAGCGTACCGTTACACCCCTTCGCCCACATGCACCATTACACCACTAACATTAACACAATGTTTTATTGTGCATTCTTAATTAGTTGTGCTTTGGTTAGTAAAACCGCATCATAGAAGCCTGAGCCCACGTGCACAATCATTGTGCAATGTGCCAGTGATCTCTTCAGTTTGATTAACTGCTGCACTCTTCTTTCTTTCTTCATCCTCTCCACATATAAACTTGCTGCCTCCTCCTCTACAAGTAGATCAACATCATTTTATACCGTGCAGTATGACTCGTAAAACTGCAGCAAAGCCCGAGACTGGCCGGCCCGCACATTAAGCACACGCACGCACATTATGGCCCGCGGCTCCAGGTTCCGCTTGGAAATTACAACTCTACCTGTGCAGGATCGAGGCCTTTATAGGTCAAACTAGGTAGTACGACTAATCTGCATCAGGTAATAATAACATGCGTTTATATTTTGAGATTAATCGTATGCGTTAACGTTGACACCCCTAATTGAAAGCAACTTTTTTCTAAGCCAGTGACAAAGAGCTAAATATTACACAGTTTTTTTCCAAGTGTGGCCAAAAACTTAGAGCAGCGCTTGTTGTCCCACAGTGCGGAGCAGGGAGGAGGAGGAGGAGGAGGAGCAGGGAGGAGCAGGGAGGAGCAGGGAGGAGTAGGGAGGAGCAGGGAGGAGGAGGAGCAGGGAGGAGGAGGAGCAGGGAGGAGGAGCACTTATGCTGTAGATATACTAACCAACTAGTACAGTAAAAAACTTATCCTTGGCTTCAGTGGTGATTTTAGCGTGTGCTCGAGTGCTCCTAAAGGACCCCTACACGTTACAGCCATTCAGTGCTGCAACACCAGGATAAACACACATGTGGTTCCACCCACAGACGGGGTTCATGTGGTGCAGTGGAAGCCATAATATCCATTAACATTCACTTATGGCTATTAATGGATATTATGGCATGCCATAATATCAGTTGTTGTGAACTAGTTGCGTGTCTGCAACACAACTAATTTGATGAAGCGCCTGACCGTGCACAGAATCAATTTAAGAGTGGAAAGTTGCTCCGTGTTTGACTTGGGGCTGGCCAAAACTTTTATCACAATGTATTTCTTAATGTCGGTCGATAACGATGTAATTCGACATCGATACTCTGAACAACAACGGCACCATTTAAACTGAGCATGGACGCGTTTTCCCTTAAAAGAAATGATACACAAGCACAATGCCTGCAATTTACAACCCCCGTCAGCATCTCGTAATTAAATTAGTCAGCTTGAGCCTAGGTTTAAAATTATAAGTGATTAATCTCGTTCCTGTGTAAAAGTAAATTAGAAGAAATGTTTCTTTCTTATTATTACAATAAATGTGCAATCAGCTTAAGGAGTCAATATTTATTCTTCTGGTCACTTTTCAGAAGATAAAGTGGATGGCAACCTTCCCCGGACACTGTTGTGTTGCCACATCTTCTGCACAAATTGCCTGCTGTCCATTCAGTGTGGCAGCATCATTAGATGTCCTGACTGTGAGGTAATCTTACCACAGATGTTCTTACCATTCAGCAAACATACGACCGATTGTTTCTGGGAGATGAATGAGACGAACCTGCAGAAATAAAGGTTGAATGAATGGGTCAAGTGTATTTCTTAGCAATGACTTATTTCATTGTGAATTCTATTGTAGCCATCTTGTTCATATATATTTATTAGATATATACTAGTAATAAAAATTAAAGACTATTAAATGTATTTGTTGTTTCAAGTATGTTTTCTTTCTAAAATGGTAAGATGACGAGAATAAAAATTCAACTGTCTGTTTGCAGTTTGAGTCAACCCTTCCAGAAACAGGAGTGCATGGTTTGCAGGAAGAAAACCGGATCATTGGCCTGATCTACACTGCTCAAATTAACAAGATACAAAGGTACACTGACTAAACTTTAGCCCTCCTGTTATGAACATTTCTATTGAACTTTTATTTGATAATTGTTTTGTTGATTTTATCTCTTAACACTTCCATAGTGACCGATCAAGAAGTCGCAGAAAGAACAGACTGTCACCATCTGAAGACACTACCTGTGGAGATATGGAGCAGGTATTTGTGGACATTACAATGATGGCACCTGGAAACTTGTGTTAATGTATCAGCTTCTACCTGTATGTTTGAATAGAGGTTGATTGATACGAGTGGCCCGTGTCCATCTTCAGAAATACAAATAGCAGATGGCAAATAAACCACACCAATTTTTGTATGTTTGGTCTATATCTATATTCCATTTACAACATATAACGATTACCTAATTAAAACAATTCACAGATAATGTGCCGTATTTTTCGGCGTATAAGTGGCTCCAGAGTATTAAGTCGCATCAGTCCATAAAAAGCATCATGAAGTGTTAAAAATCATGTATAGCCAGGCCAGGCAGACGTGTGTGTGTGTGTGTGTGTGGGGGTTGTCTGCTGCCGTGTGGCCTGCGTGACTGCGTGGACCCCGCCCGTTTACAAACTTTCTTCCTTTGTACCATTGTGGGCTGCATGTTTTTATTACCTGCAGTTTGTAATCTGCAATATAGGATTTTCTGCATGGGGGGGGGGGGGGGGATTTTACTTGTTTTTCTCAGTTGTCCATCAGCAATTTTTAAAATTGGGATTTCTAATAAAATTGATCATTTTTGCACTTAAAATTCTTCAATAAGCAAATCATGTGAGGTGTGCTACTGAATTACACAGCTACACTGATCTATACAAAGAAACTATGATTGTAAATGTTTAAATTTCTTTTGTGAAGACATTAAAACCTCAGGACAGTCAAACCTGAAATATTTGGTGTAGTCTAATAAATACTTTTATATTTATGATGTTAAATGTTTGTATGTTTCTGTGACCTCTAAATGCTTTGATTTCTCTGTTAAATGTGGGAGATCTTTGTATGGTCCAGAAATCAAACATCCATCCATGAAAAACACCCAACTCTGTTGCAGATTTTTAATTCTAGTTTTTAATTTATTTATTTTCCAGAATTGATGAAGTTGTGGCTGAAGTGTTACCAGAGTGGTGACAAAGACGACTCTAAATAACTCTGGTCCTGTTTTTCACAGCCTGCAGACGTTCAGGAGATCGAGAAAGCAGTGGATGAGGCGCTGGCACAAGCTGCTCTAAACCTTACAGAGCTGCAGCACGTTTACAAGGTGAAAGACGCAACTATGGTGGCCCTAAGGTGTAAATGAACATTTGGAAACACAACAAAATCACAACATTTGGAAAAAACAGAATTACATTAAGTCAAACAGGAAGGTTTATTTATTTTTTTACTTTATTAACAGCATAAAACAGAACAATGTACAGTACATCCTGATGCAATCCTGATGCATGCTCAATAATCCAGGTAGAAAAATCTAAAGAACTTAAGTCTGGTCCTCAGGAGGCCTCAGTTCAACTGTCCCCCTCTTACAATGCTGTGATTGCTAGTATCACTCAGCCCTCTGTGAACAGTAAACAGCCATCAGGTGCTAATGATCCATTGTTAGGCTGATGGTCCTTCTTGAGCATGTGATCAGCTGGTTCTGGTTGTCAGCAGAAAACTGGTTGATCCACTCTGAGAAGGTGCTATTTAAGAGACTGAGCTGAATACAGCACCTCAGACTGAGGAAGTCTCTCGGATGAGAGACGAAACGTTTCTACACTTTATTTTTTGTTGTTGTTTTTTGAACATCCAGAGGACCTGACAACTTTTTAGAATATACAGTACACACACATCTCTGTTTGTGTACTGTATATTATTCTGTTGTTCGGTTTTATGCTGTTAATAAAGTTTAAAAAAACAAACTTCCTCTTTGGCTTAATGTGATTCTGTTTTTTTCAAATGTTGTTCATTTACACCTTAGGGCCACCGTATATTACACTTTGAAAACATCTATTGTCGTTAGCACATTTTATGACTTGAGGAGAAAGAACACATGTATAAGCAAAAACAGTAAAATGACATTGCTCAACATTTTAGTGTTCGTGGTATTGGAGGTCACTTAGTGATTGTCCTGTTTTCTTCTCTGGACAGACTCTGACAACTAGCTTGGCAGAACAGATGCAGAGAGAGCGAGCCAGACTGGAGACGGAGATCAAGCAGGCCTCAGATAAAGCTTTACACACTGTTCAGATGTGGTATGAACATGAACTATTCAAAATAGAAACCGTTAATGTAATCTGACTATATGCTTTCATCATAACCTAGTATTAAACTAGCTCTAAGGTTTTCTAAAAGTCTTCAAAGCTGTATCTTTATTGTTTTAATTTTCTTTGTCATCAGGAAAGATGCACAGCTGAGTCAGCTCACGAAACTGGAAGTACAATTTTCCCCCAGTGAAGCAGCAGTGTCACAAGTCCAGGAGAGAATTAAAACGTTGGAGATTGCCATGCAGATGGCCAGAGAAGTACGTCGCTTTCCTTTCCTGGAGCAGTACTGCATCTTGGATAAGGTTTGACCGTTTTCCTTCTAACATTTGCACTCGCTGAGCAGTTTGTCCATATAAAAACACCATATAAATGTAACAGTTACTTGCTTTTTACTTTTCTTCTTGCAATAATATAGTAATAGTTTCCATTTTTTAATTATGAGTTGGTAAATGAAGATTATTATAGTACAAATGTATTGATTGCAGAACGATGGTATTTTTATTTGATTAGGTCCTAGAGACACTGCAAGCTCCTGTTGATGGCACTTCCTTTGATGTGAAAGGCAATGCTGTGGGCACTGGAGTGAGGTTTGTTCTTTACACTTGATTCAGTGTTCGTACAATAGTGGCAAGAAAAAGTTAAACACTCTTTAATTCTTAGATTTTAGGAAAAAGGACAATAAAAAATTTAAACATTTAGATATTCACAGCTATAAATGTGATGCTATGTGGACAACAGCACATGTTCTGGTCTGATTATTTAAGAAACACAAAGCCATAATGCAGAAACTGTCTAGAAAAAATAAGCATTCCTCAGTTTCTTTTTCTAAATTTGTTCGGAGTTTCACTACGGGAAACGCTCCAGCGTGACCATCTACGGCAGCTTCAATGGCATTACGTCTGTCAAAGACGGACTGGTTGAGCTGTGCTCAGGGCTCCGCCCCCTCCGTGACGCCACAGTCAACCGACCACCTCCTACTCATTCTCGCTTTCTTCCCGTGAGAAACCACAAGCTCCCTCAGTACAGTCAGGCTAGCTAGGTTAGCTGCTAAACAGTTCCCAGGTGTCCCGTACAGGGGTACGTCGTTAACGCAGTTCCCGGCGTCAGCTTGAAGCATGTGAAGTTGGTGCTTCACAAGAAGTAACTTTGTTACATTTGGGAGCAGTGATCGCGTCAAGGCGAGCTGTTCCCACTGCTCAGTTTTTAATTAATCGAGTGGTTGCAAGTGTAACGCAAGCTAACGCGTCATGGCGAGCTAGCTTTCCTTAGAGGTAGCATTAGCTTGGTACCTTTAGAGTTTTTTCATTACAGCTAATGTGCTACGACTAGCGTTTGTTTTACCCTGCCTGCTAGCATGGTTTTAATCCCGAGGCTAGCTTTAGCGACGAACAGTTAACGTGTCATGACGAACTAATTCCCTTATCATTATGGCTACGGCTACGAGCGATCAGAGGAATGCCGAACGAGGAAGCGCACCAAGGCTTCTGTTCTCGCTACTTGCTGATTCCAAAGAAGGACAGTATTTCGCTCCGCCCCATTTTAGATCTGCGTGTACTAAACAGACACTTCCGCAGATATACGTTCAGAATGTTAGCACACAACGCTGTTGGTCCATCCATCCATCAGATTGTTTGTAATGATCGATTTGATGGACGCTTGTTTTCTTATTAAGGTTTATCCACCACACAGAAAATTTCTCAGGTTTACCTGTCAGGACAAAACCTACGAGTTTCAAACGATCCCGTTCGGACTTTTGTTAGCTCCACGGTAGAGTCTCAGTCGGGCCTAATAAATCCAGCCTGGACCGGACCGAGCCCCAAGTTTTTTTTTTTCTGAACCCCACCCTGACCGAACGGATTACTGATTGAAATGATTATAATTTTTGTTTCAGTTATGTAAATGAAAAGCTGAAAAGAATAAACAACAATGTAAACAAATAGAACATTTATTTAAAATAACAATTTTAGGTTCCTTACTGTAACAAATCTTTTTGCATCGTTTTCTATTTGTACCAAAAATAGGAACAAATGCAGGAGTGCATAAAATTACCAGTAATAGGTTAGCTTAGCTGCCTGGATTTTTCTTAAAAAAAAAAAAAAAAATCTAGTAACAAATAATTTTGTTTATTTATTTAAATTTTTAAACAGGACATGATTAAAAGAAATCGGGCCTGGCTCAGCATATTTACTGTTTTACAGCAGGTTCCTGCAGATATCCAGCATCACTTCACATTAACAGACATACCACTTTACAAAATACAAGAATGGCAGCATTAATACGGCAGACACCTAACAGTGATTTTAAAAGAAGGTGTCCAACAGATGACGCACATGAGTCTTGGTAAAAAGTGGGAATGTTGAGATGGACTTTATATGTTGTGGAATGTCATTCCATGCTTTAGTAGAAACATTGAAAAATGATCTCCAGACATAACAGCTTTTAAAGGCTGGTAGCAGCAAGTGTCCTTGTAGCAGCTCTAGTCGAGTGACCATGTCCATAATTGGTTTTAGACATCAAAGTAGAAAGAGCTACATTACTGACACCATGAAAAACTTGAAAATACAATTTAATACTGCTGTGTAGAACATAATTTTGAAAAGTTAGAGCACTTGAAGAAGAAAGAGCTGTACAGTGATGAGTCCAGCCGGGAAGTTCATGAATTTTGTCGGCCCTATTGTAGAGCCTAGCTATGGGTTTCAGGATTTCATTAGTAGTAAGAGACCAGACCAGTAAACAGTATGACAGAGTTGAAAGTATTATGGCATGAAGATAAGTGTTTGAAACAGAAAATGTCAAATTTGATCTAATTTTGGAGTAAACATACATTTTTTTTGTTTCAGCTTAGTACATAAAGATTGCATGTTGACATAAGTTAAATGAGAGTAAGATAATTCCCAGATATTTTTAAGTAGTGACAATCGAAAGGGGTTTGTTTAAAAAAGTAAGAGGATTTGAAATATTGAAATGTCTTCTAGGTGAGGAAAAATACATGTTTTTTTTTTTTTTTTTTTACATAAATCGTCGAGCAATTTTTTTGTAGCCAGAAATGAAATTTCTGAAGATCTGCCTGTAGCTGACTGTTGATAGATTTGATGTTTGAGCCAGATAAGAAAAGAACAGTATCATCAGCATACATTAAAATATTGGATTCATCCATCCATCATCTTTATCCACTTCTTCCTTTACGAGTCACTGGTATCACTGGTTCCCATATCAGCCATCAGTGTGTGGGGGACACCTGGACAGGTCTCCAGTCCATTACAGACAAATAATTCAAAATATATAAATATAAAAGTAAACAGACTTCATCCTACCATAGTACATTAACCTTTAACTCAACATGAAATCCAGACTTCAGTCATTTTTAACCATATTGTTCTAACATTTGTTATACAGGTCCTTCTCAAAAAATTAGCATATTGTGATAAAGGTCATTA